TATATATATATATATATATATATATATATATATATATATATATATATATATAAACACAACTACAACTACAACAACAAAAAAGTGAAAACTAAAAAACTCCTGGGAACTAGATTTCATCTATATAAACTCCTTGAGATAGGAACTCTAAATTTATAGGTGTTAAAAGGGTAGCTTGTAACTCCTGGGAACTAGATATTGTATCAATTATAATAAGATGTCTTAATTCATCTATCAAGAAGATAATCCTTAAATATAATGTTGATGTACATCAATTACAATGGTAAGGTTATAATTGAGTTATACAGGGCAGGTCTTGGTACAACGATAATTTTGCTCCTTTGCGATCAGGGAGACTAGGGTTCGAGTCACAAAAACAATCTCTTTAAATATTTAACGGTAAAGTTGCGTACATAGACCCTCCTTAAATCCCACATTGGCGGGAGCCTCGTGCATTGGGTATGCCCGTTTATGTACATCAATTGCAAGAACCTTTATTTTGTTTTTTTATAGTTAGAAATTTTTAGTCTGTTATGCTCTTCAGTCATGTTTGGTCAGGGTAAGGGATTATTAGATTTTAGATAATTTGAACTTTTTATCATGTTTATATCATATGCAGAAGAAAATGCACCGCCAGCTTAAGACAATTCTGTGTGGTCGATGCAAGCTTTTGTCCCATGGACACATGGTGACTGCTGTGGGTGGGCATGGTGGTTACTCTGGTGGTAAACAGTTTATTTCTGCTGAAGAACTACGGGAAAAGCTCTCTTATCTACGTCATGAAAAAGCACTGATTGTTAAACTAGTAAGTGATCATATCTGATATCTTTAGTTCTCTGCTTTTAGTAGCTCTGGCTGTGTATCTTTGAAGAACTATGTTACGGGTGCCTCTAATGTCCTTTTTGTTGAATTCATGATCTCAAACTCTTATGTTTACTTGTTTAGTAAGTTGGTATGAGTTTTAGAAGAATGTGGCTCTATTTCATTTGCTCATTTTTGTGTTGCATTTTGTTCTTGATTGAAAAGGGCGCTTATCAAGTTGTATCATAAACACCATACTGGAGTACTACCAAATGATGAAGTTAGGTCGACAAAACAATTGGTCAATGTTGCAATAAATGCATAGAAGAATCCACAAGTATCTACCATTCGGAGCATTTCCATGTGGCTATTTGACATGTTCTATTGTCATGCAACAAATGTAGATCTCACTCCAATATCAGCCTATGACATTTATTGCTGAGGCTATAAGACCTTTTTTCTTTTATGTTAGTATAAATTATACTATTGATAAAATCTTCTGCTGTGGGGCCCAAAATAATGACCTTTGGTTGGGAGACATGAATGAGGTCAAATTCTTTGATGAATGTGGGATGTCAGATTGTATTCCTGATGATATTTTATTGATAACCAAAAGTTTCCCAAGCAGCAAATTTTGTATTTTCTCTGTTCTATTTTGGTTTCCTTTCTTATAATTGAGTTAAAGAATGTCATCCATGCTTTATTTGGTAGATGCAATTTATTAAGAAGGGGTATTGAGAAGGGCACTGCAAGCAGAAGGGGTATTTTCTCTGTTCTATTTTTACCCCTGCAAGCAGACAGGTTGTTTTTGCCACTCAAGCCTTTGTCAGTTATATCTCACCTATATCATAGAGGAACAACCTTCCCAGACACCAATCCGATCCTCTAAAATAAAGGAGACAAAATGGACACTAATTTTGCTATTTAGGTGTAATGCAAAACATGAGCAAAAAAGAAGATAGGTTAAAAGGTTTTCATCAGTGTGGTAATGTTTGATGTAACAATTTATCTTAGGTTAAAAGGTTTTCATCAATGTGGTAACATTTGATGTAACAATTTATCAAAAAGTAGTGAGCTTTTTCTCTTCTACAGACATAATCCTTATGTGTTCACATGTTATAAAATATGTTGGATGAGGGCAGTAAGTTGATTGGTTGACATTGCTTTAGTAAATTAAAAAGGAGGGAGCAGAAGGATGAAAATTAGTATTGTGCCTTCAACGTCTATGCACGTATATGATATCACCGACTAGTGCATTCTGCATTCTGATTATGATTCATAATGTGAATGTATGCAAAATTCTCCTTTAATTATATACTTACCACTGAAAGCTCTTTTCTATCTGCATCTCAATATCTGTAGGTTGATATTGTTGACTTCAATGGCAGTTTTTTGGCACGTGTACGTGATCTAGCTGGTGGTAACCCTATCATATTGGTCATAACTAAGGTGATATTCTTTCACATGTTTAGTGTTTACATTTTAGTGGTTGTTCTAATGATGTGGATGTAAAAGAAATCTTGCTTATTTGAATTTGAAGGTTGATCTGCTGCCCAGAGGCACAAATCTAAACTGTATTGGAGATTGGGTTGTTGAGGCCACTACCAAGAAAAAACTCAAGTAAAAGCATCTTTTATCTTTGCAATTAGTTCACTTATTATTACCTTTTACCTTTTAGGATATGATCATTCTTTTTCTTAACTCGTCTACAGTCTATAACATAATGACACATCAATATTTATGATGGGTTTGCATAATTTGTGTGTTGTATGTGCTTTGTTGCATTTCTATGCATGTTGTTCATTGTAATCTTGGGGTATGTATGGTAAACTGTTCTATCAATTTTGATCTTGCCTTGATGAGGTTCCTATAAAAGAGAGTGAACCTTTTGTAGCATGAGCGTGCAAAATTATAATGTGATGTCCAAAGTTTCATTGAGTATCCATTTGGTAACATGGAAAGTAGATAGGGAATGAAAATGGTAATGAATTGTTGATTCAATTGTTGTTTGTTTGCAATAAGGCAATCACTTTCTCATTTCTGAGTACAGTGTGCAATAATTTAGGCTTTGATTTTTCGACCCTCAAAGATAAATAGTGATTCTCAGAGAGATTTTCTCCTGACACTATCTTGTGACACAAAAACCTTTTAATCTCTTCCCTTCTTTTTATATAAGATAGGATTTGCCTAAACTAATTAAAACTAAACTACCAGTGTTTTTAAAAGCGCTATGCGTCAAGGTCCCAAAACGCCCAAGGTGCTAGGCGCTCGCCTGAGCGCTTGCCCAAGTGAAGTAGACACTCTAGAATATTAAAATATAAAAAATATATGTTATGATTGATAAACATGATTATAAAAATAAAAAAGTGACATCAAATTGAAAACACATAAAGTACCAAGTCACATTGTTCATCTTCTAATAACAAAAATGTCAAAATAATATAGTTTTACATCAAATTCAATGATCATCATAATCAATATTGTTATTCTCAAGCTTATCATCTTCTTCCTCTTCCTCTTGTCTATCTTTATTAAAATATGTTTCCTCTTCAACAATGGCATGTGATGAACTTGAGGCTTGTGCTCTCATGTTTGCTTTTGTCATTTTCCTAGTGTATGTTTGCACTTCTCTAATATTTGAGGCTCTTGCCATATCTCCCCATGTCAAGCTATCATTTCAAATACAAGTTCATCTTCGGCATTTTGCAAGTTTGCACCCATTTCCCCTACCAACCATATTTGAATCATTAATGTCTTGTAATGAGATTGAATTAATATTAACTTGCAAATTATAATTAGCTTTTAGTGCTTGATTATGCTTTATATAAACCAGATCATGTAATCGTTGATGCTCTAACCGATTTCTTTTCTATGTAAATCTAAAATGTCATACAAATTAAAGATATATTAATATATCTATCTAAAAAAAGAATAGATTAATTGGAACAAAATTATTGTTATATACTTACATTTAGTGTTTTTAATAGATGCTCGGGCGAGGCGAGGCGAGGCGACGCTCGAGCGCCTCACACAAGGTTCAGGCTATGTGCTTCAATGAAGCACCGTATTGTCACGGACAAAATTATAAACAAGGTGTTTGACGTAATGCTCGTGTATGTCCGTGTCTTTCGGTTTTGTTCACGCTTTGCATCATTTTGGACCCTTTGTTGTGTGATCGTTCAGAGCTTGTGAAGTATATGTTTGTAATTTGCATTGGTTCTGAAGTGTTTGCTAAAATGGTTGCTTGCGGATCTCGAGTGAAATGCTTTCTCTAACCCGTTTTCTCTTTTGTAGGTCCTAAGGGACCATAAGAGGTTTCGAGGAAGTTGACCTTTACGGACGGACACGCAAAGGTGCCGTACGACTTAGGCGAAACTAGCTAAGTGCATGATAGTATGGGCGCCTCGGGTGAGCGCTCGATTGAATCTCATGAGTTAAACCAGATTATGGACTTCGGTTTGATTCAACAATAACTTAATTGGTTTAATTGAACCAACTAAGCCCAATAATAAACCCAAGCCCCCTCGGCGTGCCCTCGACCTAGTAAACCCTAGTCTCTCTCGTTGCTTAACCCACCTCTAGGCTGTCATTGTTGCCCCCGTGTTGTTACGGACAAACTTCTAAACAAGGTGTTTGATGTAATGCGTATGTATGTCCGTGTCTTTTGGCATGTTCATGCCTTGTACAACATGTAGAGGGGCGGCCAAAGGCTTAATAGTCCCATTTTAGTTGGGTTGGTGGCCTCTTTAGGCTTGTAAATAAAGGTTGTGTCATGTGGACACGTGCGAGAGATATTCGGTCTGTAATGAACCATTTTACCCTTTGTTGTGCCACTGTTCAGAGCTTGTAAAGTCTGTTTGTAATTTGCATTGTCTATGAAGTATTTTTCGGAGATGTTTGCTTGTGGATCCCGATTGAGGCGTTCTCTCTAACCCGTTCTCTCTTTTGGTGGTCCTAAGGGACAATGGGAGGCTTCGGGGAGGTTGACCTTTGCGGACGGACTCGCAAGGGTGCCGTACGACTTAGGCAAAACCAGCTAAGTCCGTGACAGATGGTATCAGAGCGGGACTAGCACTCATAGAAACACTTAGCATGCAAACGCGGGGGACCTAGCGGGGCTGCGTTGAGGGCAGTCAGCACACGCGCGACCGTTTGGGGGAAAACGGGCATGGAGATGTAGGGAAAAGGAGTCGCTCGGAGGAGCGGGCATCTGAGATTGGCATTCAGAGGAATGACCAACCCTTCGCGCAAGAGGCACCACGAGAACAGACAAGCTTGGAAGAATGTGGAGCGCACAAAGGTTGGGATGGCTGAGTTTGAGCTACGGCTCAACGTTGACAACTATACTTGATGGTGCTCAAGACAAGCGAGGCGCTTGGTAATGGATGAGACCATCCAAGGTGGAATGAGTTGCTCAACGACCAAAAGAGTTATGCAAAGCTCACAAAGGTGAGTGGAATTGCTAACTCGAACAATTCGGTACTCATGCATGGGCTTGTATGCGGACGATGGAATGTTCGTGGCCATCCCAAGGCGACCGAAACTCGGCGCCATGGAGCATTGAAACTTTCTCTTCGGCATGTGAAGGATACGTCCGTAGGAGGCTGAAGTGTGCAATGAGTTCAGCATGTTGCTAGACCTTGAGGGGTGCAGCGGTGGCTGTATTGACGGGGAGTCGCAATCTAGCAAGTGCGTTTGCGGGAGACAGAACAATGCACAGTTTGTTCAGCAGATCGGAGTAGTCCAAGGGGATGGTGGTCTCCGAAACGAAGAGAGATGTTGCTCCAATTGGACAGTTATCCAGGAGGGATAAGTCCCGGCTCTCCAGAGGGAGAATCATGTGAGACGGACCTCACATGTTGAGGAGTACCTCAACAAACAACAACTCCACGAAGCTCGATGGACTGAGCAAGCGACGAGGAGTCGTCGCATGATCTCGCTTGAGAGAATGCATTAGTGGATGCATTGCGAGATCAAGTGGGGGAGCGACCCAAAGCAACTTAAATGAAGGCACACTTGGAGTCGATGTGGAGATCGGACTCAAGGGAGGGCTGACCCGTGGAATGGTGAGCGCGAGGGCCACCATCGACTCAATGCAAAAACGAGGAGCGGAGCAACTTGGGTGTAACTTGGCGAAGTACCCAAGCCGCATGAAGGGAGCCAGCATAGAAGTTGGAACATGAAGCAGAGGCACAGTGCTTTTCTTAAATAGAGGTCAAGGACATGAACTCTTGCAGAGGCAAGAGTAGGATCATGTTGTTCCATGGGTCCTTCTTTCTGACGGAGCAGACTCATCTTGCATGGTGCCAAAGACGAAGGGAGCTTCGCGGCACATGCACCTTAACTCGGAGAAGCATTTGATTGAGGAACTAAGGCGACTTAATTTGCGGAGGCGAAGTTGGGTTCAGAAGGCCTTAGCATGGGGCAAGAGGACGCAGAGGCGGGTACTCTTGAAGAATATGCCAC